AAACCTTGCAACCGATAAAAAGATCCTATGGAGTAAAGGAAAGTGTATACGTTATCACTCCCTACTTTCCAAAGGTCTCTAGTGGACGGCCCAAACACAAAGCGACGACCTAAAAAAACTTTGATACAATTGAAACTTCATAGAAATGGTGTTTAAAAAGACTTCTTCTTAGAACTCTAACTTATCGTATTATGTATATAGGAGCGAGAGCGACAAATTTCAAACACGAGAGCAAAATTTAAAAATCAGATACAATGTGTAGTTGAAAATAAGTGTGTGAAAACATGATGTTAAAAAATATGTTTCAAAAGAACATAAAAATATGTTTCAAAAGAACATATACTTTCAACAATTTTTAATTTCGAACGAACCATTAAGAAAAATTTAAAACCAGATGAAATTATGTCCATCTATCAGATAAAAAATTATCGAATCTTACCACCAATTATTTTTTCCACTTGAGTAAAGTTTTGGGGAACAAAGTTGAGTAGTTTTAGGTTAGAAAATAGAGTTTGCTCCATTACAAGCCTACAACACACAAGGAAGTGGGATTCATAACATAAAAAGGTGTTTTGAGCCGACAGAAATTGGAGCAAGGACAAACAAAATTTCAAGTGTTCAATAAGTGAAGAAGTGAATTACATGTAATATATTCAAATGTAAGATCATTTGATTTCTCAAAAGTTCACTATTTCTATCTAGGGCCTATGAATTAGTTCACTCTAGCTAGTTGTTACATCACAACTCTTGGTTGATTAAAATCATTTTCTCCAATACGCTTTTCGTTATGTTTTCCTTTTTACAATGGGTTTTTCATTCTCCTCTCCTCGAAGTATACTAAAAAACTTGTCCTCCGTCGGATGTTTTAGTTAGGTTGTCCAATTAGATTCTCGCACGTTTGAAAAGTGTTTATAAACAGATATGAGTAAGTTATAAATAAGTGTGAATAAACGGTGATTTATCTGATTTTAAACTGATTATAAACGTATGTTTAATATGGGCTATATTACTTACTAAATTTATTTCCAAGTCTAATATTATAAATGTATTGTGAACATGCTATAATTAAAGATATTTTATTTTCTTAGTTGAATTTTGAAGGTGGTGGTGGGAGAGGTGTGAAGTGGTGGATAAGAATGGAAAATTTGGCTTTGAAATCTAAATTCATTTGTTTATTCGCTTTTTGGAGAACACGTATAATGCCACCATGTGTGTATGAATTGACCTAAATTATTTAAATTATTTTTGTGTAAGCGTCAACTTTGCATGACAATACAGAGACAAACTCACCAACCAACAATGTTGAGAATAAAAAGTAAAAACCAATCAAAATTTAAAACATAACATAAGCTTACTTATAATTCACACATGTCCACACTACCGACAGTCTTTCTTCACCACCATAAATGCTCGCATAATTCTATATGCTCGTCGAATTTTTGTTATTGGGAGTTTTACAAAATTTGTTAAGATTAAAAAGTCGATATAAATTTAAGTCCAGATCAATAATTAATTTTAATAGTACATTTCATTCGACTCACAACTTTCATCAACTTCTGAACCACATACTTCATTAATTTTTATCAAAATCTACTAAAAATCTGATTCTTAGTTATACCAAACTAGAGATGGCAAACGGACTGAGCGGCTCGTCGGCTTGTGAAAACACAAGCCGCGAGCCGTTTGGGCCCGTCAAATGGCAAACGGGCTGAGCGGCTCGTGGGCCCGTGAAAAATTAAGGAATAAAAAAAAAGTGAAAAAGTAGAAAGAAAAAAAAAATTCAAAAAGCTTGTGGGCTCGCGGCTTTGCTCGTGAGCTCGTGCCGAGCTGAGCTCACTCGCGAGCATACGAGCCACGAGCAGGCTCGGCTAGTGAGCTCGTGGCAGTTCGACCCATTGCCATGACTATACCAAACAGAGGCTTAGATTCACTAACACGGGAACATAATCCTCTAGAAGTTAGTGAAATGGTTCGGAGAATCAATCTCATGTTTCTCAATTCGATTCTTTTTCTACATTCATGTATGGAATTTATCAATGTTAATATTTTTATTAATTGCAAGTCGTAGAACGACACAAGTCACAACATGAGATAAATATGTTGTTACTAAGAATAAATTCAACAATTGTTGCGCATAATCTTTAGTGCAGATGGGACACGTAATAGATTTATAATTTTATTTTCTGAATTTGTCAGTGAGTTTCCAAAAGAGAAATAATATAATTAAGGACGTCTTGATCATGGTGGACCTTTAATTATTATTCCGAATCCACTCCTAATTAAAGTTATTTCTGATATATTGAATTTAATTATGTAAAAAAATTGAGATGAAAATGGTCAATTTATCTCGAAAAAGTCAAACAAGTTTAACTTTCTCCAATGAATTCTTTATTAATCAATTAATTAAACAATCCATTTAAATTCTTATAACTATAATATAAGTATACACTAAATTTTCGATTTTTTTAATTAACTTTTAACGTTGAGTTTGACTCTCCAAACACAGACTCAGAGCCAAAATGGAAAATTGTTAAGAGTATACAAAAAAATTATTTTCTAAATCTAAATATATTCTCTATCATACATACAATGCCCTTTTAAAATGTTAAAATAAGGAGTCTTTTGAAACTTATTTTTAAGAAACGACACTCTTAAATGAAGAGAATTTTATATATATGAAGAGAGTTTAATGGAGATGCACTTATACAAGATTTTGAAAGTATAAAAGCATTTTCAAGAAACTCACTTATTAGATAACATTATTTTTTAGTGGTTGACATGTAAATGCATATATTAATTTAAAAATGATGAAAAATATTTATTGAGAAAAGTAAAATAAAGAGTTTGTTGAAAACGCTATCAACCAAGTGTAAATGGTTTTACTTTTTAAATTTAGAGATGATCTTTATTACAATCAAAATGTTCTTTGAAAACAAAGAGTTCATTGAAAACGCTATGGGGAGTCAAGTAGAGGATTAATTGTAGGGTATCAAGCTCTTGATTTAAGGGAGGTAAAATAAATTTAATTAAACTTCTTTCATTTGATTGATAGCATTTTTTAATTACTACTTGTATCTTTTAAGTGTGTCCAATCTTTAATTAGTTTTGATTGATTATTATGGGCGGTCACATGCATGCTTTTTGTCTTATCTTAATTTGTAGCATAAAATAATGGTTTTTTTTTTTTTAAAAAAAAGGTATGTAGAGCAAGATAAGGGATTAAAGTCGTTTCCAACCCTCCACCAAAATTTGAGGCAAGTTTCGCACCATTTTACGTCAAATCTTGCATCAAACTAAAAATAATTTCCAACTCATTACACCAAAAGTTGCACCAATGAACGATATTTAATCATTTTCTTCACTTTTTTACTCTTTAACAATTTATATATTCAAAAATTTATATATTTATTTAATTTACTACATATATAATTACATTTTATTGACGAAAATATTAAATTCGTTAATAAATTTTAAAAAATGTAGTACGATTAAAGTTTAATTCATTCTCCGATAATTATTGATTACATGATTAAAGTTTGTTACAGATAGTAGTAGTAAAAAATTATAATAATAATTAGTTAAGAATTAAAATTTATGTATAATATAAAATGATACAGATACCATTAACAACATTTGGTGTTAAATGATAAAAAAAAAAGGGCAAAAAGGACTTTAGCCAAATATGGTGCAAAATTTGGTGTTGGGTTGGAGTGATTGCACCAAATATTTAGTGCAAAATAGGGTAAAATGGTGTTTTGGTGTAAGTGTTGGAGTTGCCTTAAGGAACTACCTATTTCTCTAAATATAATAGTACATATTTGTTACAAATTACTAAGTAGGTCTAAAAAATATAATAAACAAGATTTTAACTTTGGGTAATTATATTCACACCATAACTTTTATTCTCTCCACCACATTTTAATTGTACTCAAGGTTCTTAATCTTTGCTCATTATAGTAGTTATGTTCATAATGATTTTTCACGTCATTTTTATCCTCAATTTTTTCATTAGTTAACATATTTTGTATTTTATAACAATTTTATGTTTAAAAATCCGTTGAAATGGCGTTAAAAAAAAAACTTATTTTCCATCATATTTTTAGAAAATAAATAAATAAAAAGTACGCAAAAATATTTTTCCCTCATTTCAAAGCATGAAAACAAAATATTTTGATATAAATCATCATCAAATACGAGACGTACTAATTAATGAAAGGTTGAAGATAAGAATTCGACGAAAAAAAAAGTTTACGGAAAAAATTGCTATAATGAGCAAATATTAAGTAGTTTAATTGTAATTAAACTGTGGTTAAATAAAAATTGTGATGGTAATATAACCACCCTTTAACTTTTTATAAGTAATTAGAATGGTCGGAAATTAGCAGAAGTATCTTTTAAGAAAATATTAAGTAAATAAATGCTTTTGTTCTTAGAGCTGGTATTTGGATTAGGCAGGTTGGCCACCACACCACTGCCGGGAAAATTTTCAAAACTGATAAATTTTCCTTCACTTTGGACTACAATCTGATTTTGTGATTTGAATTTTACTGTTAATATAATTTTGATTAATGATTATATTCTTTATTGTATTTTGGTAAACGGTTCACCTAAAACTCATAGTAATATTTATGTGTTTCATACCTTCAATACGGATGACTATTTTTAGTGCAAGAATATTTTTCATAATATTAATTAGAAAGGGTGAAATTTTTTTTCTTAAAATAATATCGAAGCATTAGTTAGTGTGATTTCTCTGTACAAAGTGGTGTAATGCGACAGAAACGTGTATAATTTGCTGTTGAATTTCTGGGTGTGGTGTCCATTGGTCACAATATCCAAAAGGAACTGTAGAAGTAAGGTGTATGAGTATATATAAATAGAGGGGCCGTTTCTCTCAAATTCAGTGAGACAATTAGCACGTCTTTTTACAGAAACATATAGAGTTGTAAAGGGATCTTTTCTTAAAAGATATCACTGTGTGTGTGAAAAGGGTTCAGGGTATGGAGAATACAAGAAAACAGGAGTATAATGGAGAAAATATTTTTGAAGAAACTTCAGTTGATTGGAGAGGAAGGCCTTCCAACCCAGTTAAGCATGGTGGAATGAAAGCTGCTTCCTTTGTTCTAGGTCTCTCTCTCTCTCTCTGTATGTATGTGTGTGTGTGTACAGAAGGGATCATCTTAAGGATATACTTTAAGGTCCAAAATCTTGAAAAGAAATTGTCCTTGGATTTTCCGTTTGTTTATTGTTACTTTATTTTGTCTTCTGTGTGTACATGTGTCTGTATCTGTGTATAAAGTTTAGTCTTTGTGCAGGGCTTCAAGGATTTGAGATAATGGCAATAGCAGCAGTTGGGAACAACCTCATAACTTATGTGATAAATGAGATGCACTTTTCCCTGTCAAAATCTGCAAACATTGTCACTAACTTTATAGGAACTATTTTCATCCTTGCACTCCTTGGAGGCTACCTTTCTGATTCTTATCTTGGTTGTTTCTGGACTCTGCTCATCTTTGGCTTTGTCGAATTTTCGGTTAGTCTTTCTCTCACCCTTCCCTTCTTACTTTTTCGATGATCCGACTTCTCTAAAAGTTTAAACTATTAGATAATTTTTTGATTCATTTTTCCTCATGCAAAACTGTAGGGTTTCATATTGTTGTCAGTGCAAGCCCATCTGCCCCAACTAAAACCTCTTAAATGCAACATGTTACTTGATGGAGACCATTGTGAAGAAGCGAAGGGATTCAAGGCCTTCATATTTTTTGTGGCACTCTATTTGGTGGCCTTAGGAAGTGGTTGTGTTAAGCCCAACATGATAGCTCATGGTGCTGACCAGTTCAATGATTCAAAGCAATCCAAGAAACTCTCCAGATACTTTAATGCTGCCTACTTTGCCTTCTCCATGGGTGAACTTGTTGCCTTGACTGTCCTAGTTTATGTTCAAACACATTCTGGAATGGATGTTGGATTCGGCGTCTCGGCAGCAGCCATGGCTATGGGACTGATAAGCTTGATTTGTGGTACAGTTCTTTACAGGAACAAACCTCCTCAAGGAAGCATCTTGACCCCTATTGCACAAGTAATGCCTCTCTTCTTTTACCTTCCTACGTTTTACTTACCGATCGATTTTCTGACTTATATTTACCGTTGCTGAAGACGTCACCAACAGCAAATTGGCTATTAGCATTGGAAATTTGCGTCGCTTGCGCTTTTTGTTTCCTTTTGGCTATACATCTTTAAAAATTCCTCCACACTTAATTTACTGAATATTATTAAACATATATATAACTAGTTGTTACCTTGAGTATCGTTTTCCTATTATTTTATGCCAATTGGTGTCATATTTTAAAAGAAATTTATGTGCTTTTAATGTTGATACACTGAAACACACTATTTAATTTTTCTAATTAAAAATGCAATCTGGTTCTTTTGTACTGATCTTGGAAAAAGTTCATAATTGATGCACCAAATTATAATACATGTTCATATGTCCGAAGATTTGCACTTTCTTGATAATTTATTTTTGATTTTCTTATTTAATTTTTAATATTAGGTGTTTATGGCTGCAACTTTAAAGCGAAAGCAAGTGTATTCATCGGATCCTCGGATGCTTCATCGGGACCAATCTAAGGAACAACCAAATAGTGACAGTACCAACAATCTTTATCTGTCTGAAAGATTCAGGTATCAGTTTTGCTTTTCAAATAATTCATGTATAAAGATTGACCATCTATATGACGAATTTTTAATTATCTGTCGTGTTTCGACCGTCACACAGATTCTTGAACAAGGCTTGCATTAGAGTTGAAGATGGAAAGGAAAGTCCATGGAGACTGTGCACAGTAAACCAAGTTGAACAAGTGAAGATATTGCTTTCAGTTATTCCTATATTTGCATGCACAATTATTTTCAATACAATACTTGCACAATTACAGACATTTTCAGTCCAACAAGGGAGTGCAATGGATACACACCTAAAATCTTTCCATATTCCTCCAGCTTCTCTTCAGGCCATTCCTTACATAATGTTAATCTTCATAGTACCTCTTTACGATACATTCTTCGTACCTTTTGCTCGAAAAATCACCAAGCACGACTCTGGGATCAACCCTCTACAGAGAATAGGATTTGGCCTATTCTTGGCAACTTTTTCAATGATCTCAGCTGCCCTAATGGAGAGCAAGAGAAGGAATGCTGCAGTAAATTCGAACAAAATAATATCCATCTTTTGGATAACGCCGCAGTTTTTGATCTTCGGGTTATCAGAAATGTTTACTGCAGTTGGGCTTATTGAATTCTTCTACAAGCAGTCATTAAAAGGGATGCAATCATTTTTGACAGCCATAACTTACTGTTCATACTCATTTGGCTTTTATTTAAGCTCAGTACTTGTGTCTCTTGTTAATAAGGTGACTTCAAAGTCTTCCTCTGGTGGTGGATGGCTCAGTGATAACAATCTGAACAAAGATAGATTGGACTACTTTTATTGGATGCTAGCAGTTCTAAGCTTCCTCAACTTCCTCAACTATCTCTTTTGGGCAAAATGGTACAATCGATCTCCGGTCGCCTCACTGCAGCTTGAATCTAACACCCCAAAAATTGCAGGAGATGACAATATACCTTGAGATACAATTATATGATTTCAATTGGGAAGTTACTTCCCCCCTGAAAATCTTATGTTGAGAACAGAGAAATCTTGAGGAAAAAAAGGAATAACTGGCATTTGTGTTGATGCATAGAAAAATTAATGAAATTAATAATTTTACTTCTTCAGCAAGAATTTCATAGTCTATCAATATTCTCTTATCCCTCGTTGGAATATCTATAAAGGAGGATGGATATATCGTCCAGTCTTAATCAATACTGCAACTTAGAACGAGACGTCTAGCTAGAACTATATCCATTAGCGAAGGTTCACTGCATATTGCTTGAGTACATCAGTGTCAATTCCTTGATCACAGAACATGCAAGTAACTAGCTAGCTAGATAGTGCTCTCTACCTTTTTAAAATGACTTGGAAAAAAATGGCCCCTCCTCTCTTTTGCAAGCTATACCTGGGACCATCTGTAAATGTTCATGGAACATAATTATGAAACCCTCTACTATTAAAGTCAACCTCATTAAAATTCTTGCATTTGTTCATTGAATAATGTCTATACCATATTTGCACAGGAACATGTCTGGAACATGTTGTGGATAATTGTGTTATTTTCAATACAGTTGGTATCTTTCTAATTAACACTTGTCAAGATGCTGGCTAAAAGATTGGCAGTTGGACCCTTCATGCATTTCCAAAATTATACACCTTTTCAAGCACTCAAAACTTGTATCTTTTGGTCGGACAATTAATAATGCCTCCCAGTTCCCACTATACGTTTTCTTCAATCACCCTCCATTTCATTGTAGAAATCGGATATAGTTGAATTTAAGCGCATGTTTGGCACCAGTTATATTTCGTGAAATTCGCACGTAGTACTTGTATATCCACCACGTATCTCTATCTATTTATAATTTGAACTGATTATAAACATCTCTAGGGCATCATATGAAAATATACAAGTTTTTTTTTTTTTTACTTCTTGACTCTTCTTTTCGACACTAGTGTTCTCAAGTTGACAGTGTACCTCAATTCAAGGACGTTGCTCTCACTCTGTAGAGTGATTTAGTGGGTTGACTTGATTAATCAATTCAAATAATCAACCATTACACGATTAGCGCCATATGTTACCATGAGTTCTAATACTCCACTTCCTTGAAGTTTCAGCCTTGCAATGTCCTATCATGTCAATCTATCAATTTCAAATGGATTCCTCCTAACCGTAACCAGTGGTTATGATGGTGCACACACCACATTTTATGATCTATATTGGCCCATGTCGAAGTGTTGTACATTATAGATGAGTGAAGCGTCCATTAGTACTCAAAGCAAGCTCATCGCTTGTACATAAACCACCAAATGCTTATACAAACAATAACTCCTCAGTCTAGTTACATCGTCTAACACCATCATACGCTGGTGTTTTAAACTTCTTCCTAAAATGTAGAATTATACCTCAGTTCATCATGCGTTTTGCATTACAACCAGGTCCAAATCTCAAAGTGAAAGGATCTAAACAAGCTTGATGAAGAGCAACACTACAACAGGACTAAAACTTATATGTCTAATCATCTGCAGTTTCAATGTTAGCTCCCTTGAGATGTAGATGTTTTTCCCTCTTCTGAAAATCGGTCAATCCTTTTCCACTTCCAGTCACACCAACCTTCCCAGTAGGATCGTCAGGAGATTTGAATATGCTCTCTCGCTTTCGACCCGAAAAGAAACCAACCTAGGACATAAAATGATAAATCAAATGTTATACAATAACAAACATGAATATTGAATAGTGGAGAAAAGAAGAAACATCATCCAAATTCTAAAGCCAAAAATCTATCTTTTGCATCAATCATTCAAGTATATATGTAAAAATGATTTAGGAATAGAAGGGAAGCAAGATGGACAGGAAGGTTGGGACGCTATCAATATTAGCCAGTCTGGACAAATAGTCTTCCATCTTCTCCAAACAATGGCTTGTAAATGCAACTGAAGCATTTTTGTATATAAACCAGAGGTTTTCCAAGTTGGTAATTTACATTTAGGTGAACATGCACTGTGGATTTACAAGAATAGCTGGCCAACATACCTTCTTAGCCCGGCCCTTAGTTGTCTGGAATTGCTGCCATGCATTCTGTCTTTTATTCTGTGTCACCTCTTTTTCTTCCATCCGCATTTTGGACTTGAAAGCATGTATCTTTTTACGTTTGGCAGTTTTCTGTGAGCAGCATACATAAAATATTGTTGGACTTATATATATTCAAGATATCAGGTGATGGTGAGAAGAATAAGATTCTAAGAGATTTGTGATATCAGCCACTAAAGCAAGACGACGGAGCAGAGTTTCATCAATTGTTTCCCCTTCCTCGGTTGAGGAACCATGCAAAGACTACTGGATGTAGTATGAACTATCACGTAGCTGCTACAATGTGGGTCACATAGACTCCAGCCCCAAATATTGAGTTAAATAGAAAATGCAATCCAAAACATACCACATCTTCAGGGTCGTCAGGTTCAATACGAAGTTTTGCTGGCAAAGTCTTGGATTGGAAGTCTTTGGCAGCAGCTTGGGCAACCTTACGTTTTAGGGCTTCTTTTGTAGCCTCAGCTACCTTTTCAGCTTCCAGCAAAGGATCGACAGTGCCTTCTTGAATTGGTCTAACATTATCAGGATCCACCTGCAATCCCCCACAATCCAAAACACATTTTACATTTAATTTGGTAAAAAAATTAAGGGTCAATAAAAGAAAGGTAAAAATGTAAAAGAGAATATACATATTAGTCCGATCTTGCCATTCAATCCTATCAAAACTTTTCATGGAAAGTAAATCCAGCTTTCCATAATGCTTCCAAAGAAGTCCAGATCACTTAAAAAATGCAGTTTTCTGCAGCTTTCATCCTTTCGTATTTTATTAATCTCATGTAATTTCAGCTGTATTTTTAACATTCAATCTCTCTCATTTTTACATTAAAATCAATTTTAATAGATAACAAATTTTATTTTTTTTACAAAATATGACAACAGCAATTAAAAACAGTTAGGCAGCAAGTCACTGAATCTATGAATTCCGTTATCGATTTCACAAGATTAGAGGACTTTTTGCCTCTACTAACTTAGCCCCTATTTGGCCTCCATTTTCTAAAACTCATTTTCCTCAAATTCATTTCTAACCACACGTTTTATAGGACCTACAATTTTTATCAACTTTTTAACCACGCATTTCATCAACATTTATCAAAATCGATTAAAATCTTAATTTTTAGCTAAAAGCCCATGTTTGGCCCGCAATTTCTAAAACTCACTTTTCCCCCAAACTCGATTTCAATTACATATTTCATAAAACTCACAACTTTTATCAAATCTCCAACCTCATATTTCATCAAATTTTATCAATATTTACTAAAAATCTGATTTTTAACTAAACCTAGCAGGGGCTTAATAAGGTAACGAGAATAAAATTGACATTGAAGTTCAGTAAGTAAAACATGACAAATCCATACAAAAACATAAACTTCAAAGCAAAATGGAATAAAATATTAAGCCTCTACTTGGATACAATTTATAATTTAGTTCACAAATTCAGTCAAAATCAAACATTAATTTCGACCATACATTCGTAACTAGTACTTGTTATCCACTCATTTCATGGGACCCACTACTATTACTCTTTATGAATTGATTTATAAATTTGCCAAGTGGAGACTAAATACGCTTCTTTTAGCCAATAGGGTTTCTTCTTTTTTTTTTAATGACCGTGGATGTCCGGCCAGCTTGCGCGCACCTTGACTAATTCCACGGGGCCAATAGGGTTTCTTCAAAAGTATCTTTGGCACCTAATTATCCTGAAAAGATTTGATTGAGCTGCTGACATAGAATTACATAACAGATATTAAGTTTCAAGTAGAATTTGAATGGGACAGCATAAGATCACACAGAAGAGAGGCCAATCTACCGACTTTGAGAGTTATGAAAGAACAATAACTTATTCACTGTGAAACTCAGATGTTTACGCTCATCATCATAATAAACATGCTTCTTGATCCAGCAGTGGGTACGAATATCAAATGATCCCCATAACATAACGTCCTTAATGTCTTATTTCAGGGAGAGGAGGGTTATCTCATGAGTGGTCACCTTCTACCTAGTTTTATGTTTGTAATCACAATTCAGCCATGTTGATCAAGCTTGAGGTTATACAACAGTAGACACGGAAATTATATCAGAAGAAAGGTCGAGCAGGATAATGTAAAGGGTCGTTTCCAACTTGTAAAACTAAGCAGAAATTAATTATACAGATCAAAGTATTACATTATACCTCTTCCTGGTTGCCCCATCCATCATAACGAACATAATACCCATTTGGAGTAAGTGCCTCAACTGTTGCAGTATACCTGCATATTTAACTAATCAACCACGAACCAAAGAAAGGAGATAAAGAAAATGAAGAGAATAATTTGATTACAGCATAACATATATTTCATGAATTTTACATACCACTCTCCATCTTCGCTCCAAACTGCTTGCACTTTGGTGCCGACAAGAAACCTATTGGTATGATCTATTATGGACATTGAATTCTGGAAAACGAGAAACGGAAAAAATTTAGTTTGTTTAAAAGTACTAGTACCATGAACATGATAAACAGCAAAGCAACTGAAGGATGAGAAGCTTATAATATCGTACCGAAAGTATTGTCATGAAACATTGTCCAACAGAAACAAGCACAAAAAGAATAACTAAAGAATGAAAAACAAACTGTTGAAGATAATTGGAAATAGGTTTCAATTGGTATTTCAACTGATAAGCAAGATTGCATCCCACAAATGCTTCGGAAACACGAACATTTCAAAATAATCCATCATCACGTTTCTTAGCGGAAGGTAACAGGAAAGATATTTGGCCAAGACATCAAGTTTCCTTGCTCTGGAAAAGGATTCCTGACATATGTTGGAAGTATGAACTTCGCATAAAATATCAAAAGAATAGAAAACTAATCTTCATATTTATATTAATTTGCATGAAGATTACGCCTC